GACGGAGTTGATTTGCTTTGTCATTGTGCTTTAGATGTCTCCAGCAAACGTACTGAGGTCAAAACCACAGATGAGGCACGGAACGAGTGCATCCAGAAAGAATCTGTTAGGCCGCGGCTACTAACGGAATTTTGCACCGGAAGTGCCACGAAACACGGTGCATCACCCACACCGGAGCCCGAATCCAAAACATCATCTGGCGCATCCACCGAGCAGAAATCGAGTGGCTCAGATTCCAACGACGTGACTGAAACCAAGCCTACAAATGGTATGTTTTGATTGTGCACTTCACTCGTATGATCTTCCGTCGCTAAGTACGGATTGGATACTAGTTGGTAACTTCTTTCTTCGAAGTTGCGCGTAACACTTTGAAGATATATATATATATATATATATATATATATATATATATATATATATATATATATATATATTGGCTTGTTCTACCTACCTGAATAATCTATTAACTTGCACTCGTTGCTTACGCTAATTCTTTTTTCGTTAACGTTATTGTGTTTGCAGTATTTTTGGGTAACTTGTGGACATTTTGTACTTATCGCAGATTCGTTGATAACTAACTTAGTTCATATGCTAATTTATCGAAGAGTTATGTCGGCCTAGCCGTATTCTTTAACAGATATATTTTATTTGATAATGCCATTTCAAGTGATTGGCTGTTTTTTGACGTCCGCGCTGTGGCTGCGTTGGATGCGCTTTTTGACAACGTGCCTACCTGTCTATTACCCACTATGTCGTCCATACTGGCTCTAGGAGACAGTTGGTCTTTGCTGGAGGGGACGGGGTGCACGGTCTTTGTGGCCCTGTTAGGCTCGTTGAGTGGTTCTATGCACTCGGTGTGGAGCGGACTACGGTCCATCCATCGCTTTCTGTGCGCTTGATTCCCAAATACAGCGTGTTGTGTTTCCTGTGAAGGAGTGTGTGCCGGCTCCGTTGCTGAAACGTGGCTCCCATCCGCATGCCTCCCGGTCATATTCTTTCGGGTTTACACTGGAAATGAGGCGTGTGATTGGAGCTATGGGTGGTGCAGTGCAAGCCACCCATGGTCCCTCTGTAGGTGCAGGCGTCCTGTGGCTGACCACAGTGACAGGCATATCCGAAATCGGATACTGCCGACCATTATATATATATATATATATATATATATATATATATATATATATATATCTTCATTCAGCATTCAAAGGCTCATCTGGATCAAGAGGACCTTTTGACCTGTTCGTATTGATGTTACCGTGCTTCGTTTTCACGCGCCTTTCGAAACTTGCGCAGTTGTATGTTTTGAGTCCAGAAAGTTGGTCCAAATGATGTTCAATCTTTACGCCGCACCGCTGTCTGGGTCATTCTGTGACCACTCTTGCGTTTTCGAAAGTGTGTACCGCGTTGCAGAACCTCTTCTCGAAAGAAACAGTCGATTGTCCACACATTGTGGATATTGTCTGTTATCTGAACGGTACACATCGAGCGATCGATGATTAATTAACGTGCCCTTCATCTGCTAAAGGATAGCCGATGACCGTGCATTGAGGTTCCTAGCCAGGACAACGACATCGGGCTTGTCAATGGTATATGAAGTTCGAGGTAAACGTCGATCTTGATGTAGTCATGGCTGGAATCATTTGGAGCATATTCGCAGATTACGAACAAATTGCTTGTTTTCTCGCGACAACTGTTGTTCGTGCATGGGCCACGAAGGCGAAATGCACACAGTCAGCGGTGACTCAAAAGCCAGTCCAGTGGTGTGGCTTCGACTTTTGCTACTTACCACAACGCCATCTAAACCCGTCATATATAAATTCGCACGTTTTCAGTAGTCCATAACTAGATATTGTTGTAACGCTGCCCTGCCTCTGCTCTCTGCCTGTGGAACCGCCAACCCAGCCGGGAAAAAACCCCAAAACGAGATCTGCTAGACCGGAGTGTATCAGGGACAAAGTAAGATTAACTTTATAGGTCACATGCGCTCACCTTCGACTGTGCGTTTCTGTGCTGATTGGCTTCACTTGTCAAGATAGGTTCAAACCTGCTGACGGTCTCCACTGTCTGACTGTAGCCACGATCACCTCCGCACCATAGCAATCCGCGCCACGATGATGAACTGGCTCCGTCGGCTACCCTGGATCACGCAGCAACCTGTGTCGTGGATGATGAGCTGAGTCAGTTAGCTTTCCGCGAGATCTACCGTAGGCCCAACTCCTTTCACGAAACCATGTCGCGGCGTTCATCCGTTGCGGCCGCCTACTAGTTATGGAGCCATCTAAAACTACTTATCGTTAAAATAAAACCGACCACAACACAGGGCACTAATTAATAGCTTGGATTTGGGTGTAATTTATGATGTAGTTCGTCGCAGTTCTCCCTCAATTACAAGGGTTCCCACACGTCTGGAAAAGCACAACTGTTTCAGAGCATTCCATGGTTCCTTTAGTGGTCAGGGTACAACTCGGTTGCCCAAATCGAAGTAGAGTGTAGACCTAGGAGACACTAACCCGATCTTTTGACTGAATAGCCCATTCCCGATGTAGTGGACCGAAGTCAGGGAACTGCTTCCGTTGGGAGCCGGTAACCGGATTTTTTCATTCATACGCCTTTGGTTTAGCTAGTTGACAAATGGGGGCCCAAACACCCCACGTCCATCTCCTGGGCTACGATGCTGCATCGAGCTGAAGCAACGGGCGTTGACTTTAGTTATTAGGCAGTCGCATCCGCCGTTTTACAGCATTGTTAAAATGACATTTTTGGTTTTTTATGGTGCGATCACTTTCCAGGTGAAAACCTACCACATCTTGGAACACCGTCGCTAGAACGGGATAACTTCGAACCACCCAGATGGCAGCATAGGAAGAGAGTTCGACAAGCTAGCCAAACTCGTCAGGTAGACAGTGGTGATATAAAAAGGCGTCAGCTTTGCGCAGTCAAGCCGTACCTGCCGACGCTTCACTGCTACGCAACCACCACAAGTCGCGCGTGAGCTAAGGCTAATGCGAAGGCCCCCCGGTCCTCTACACAAGCTCGAATCCGCGATCACCGGGTTGCAAGGCAAACGCCTTGTCCTTTCGGTCACTGATCGGCATTGGTCGTATATGGTTCCGTGGTCCTCATGGATTATCAATGCAGGTAATCAGGGTTTATAATTGTGGAAACCGTTGTTGCTGAGGAACTCCAAGGTCCGCAATAGACCAGTCTGTATAAGTGTGTATACATTGAAAGATGCTAGACGGAATGAGGATCGAGGCCAAAGGAGTGCCATTGCTCGAGCTCTATGGGCATTCGCGGAACCGATATCGGACGTGGATTCATCGAAACAAGCATCGGCCGGTAACTGATAACAGGGATTATTCACACGTGAACAGTTGTAGTGTGTTCAAGACGCGTGAATGAGCGAAGCGCTAGGCATAGCGTATCCGTTGAACAACACATGGCTTCTTCACAGAGTGTGATGCTGCCCGATTGGCTAAGCTGAGGTGGGAAATTGACTTGGGGACCCCACTCCGAGCCTTTGCCTGAGTAGTCTACTCGCAAAGCAGCAGGATTCAGTCAGGGCTTCACGCACTATAGGAGCCCGTGAGTTATTTCTCGGTTTATTCGCCTTTGTCACGGTGAGTTGCCAAACGGTAGCTACATTCATCTCCACTCTATAGGCGCAACCTTACTGAAACACTGCTTCACAAAATTGAGGTAAGGAGCGCAAGGGCTTTAGTTAGCGACAAGTTGCATCCCCCACACCGCCATGTTGTTAAGACTACGTGGCATGTTGTCGTTGAAGGACGGGTGCTATGCGAAAACCCATGTCCATTACCACCGGACATTCTCTAGAGCGGGATAAAGTCAAATCGCTGCAGAACGGGGCACAGGAGACACTCATACGCCGACTCCCTCATCCTGCGGCATCTCATTCGTAGCTTGATTCTGCTTCTCTGCATCCTGCGATTTGCATTGCACACTCACGGCAGCTATTGCGAGTGCGTATTCGCTCCGCACATGGACACATTGCTAGTTGAAATCCTTACTACCGTGCCGTTCGCATCCGTTTCTAGATCGCTACGCTGCTCTTGGATACAGTAGGTCATGCATTGGCATTAGTTCCGCATTTATGCCCACATGTCTCAAATGTAGGTGCGCACATCGGTTTCCGTCGGTTGTATTCCGTCTTACAAGTGCCTTGTGCTAGTGACCTGCATCTTCAGCCCGACCAGTCTGGACCAACTTGTGTCCAACTTCTTTTACTTCCAGCTTGGTCCACTCTACTTTCGACGATTAGGCAGCAACCTCCTTTCGTTTACAGTAGCATACATTTGCTAGTGTTCTCAACCAGCACGGCTGTCATTTTACAAAATTGCTCAACCTATTCCACTTACAGAAGACCAAGCAAACATTTGCTTAAATTTTTTGAAACACTGACTTCCCTTCAGCCACTTCATTAACGCAGTAAGAAGACAGGTTGCGATATGTTAACATTTCGATTGCTCTCATCAGTCGCTACGCAATGCAGGCAAAACAAAACGCAATATATAGGGTTCACACTTAGTAAGATAGCTAAGCAGACAAAATCGATTTCAACGACGTAATCAGGTCCAAGGCAATCTAATTGATTGCCTCAATTGTTTCTGGGCACAGCGTGCGGGACGCCTCGTAGCGTAGCGCCTCGTCAGTTGCCAACAACGTCGGATTTTTCTTGCGCAATACCACCTTGAATCAATCGATTGGATTCACCTGTTGACGAGTCTTCATTAGGTGTTTGGTGATAGATGAGACAGGGTTCCGGTTCATTCTTTGGTCCACTCCGCCTTGGCGAGACAGCAACTGTCTTAGCCATAATGGGAAGTGTTCCGCCACCCTTTAAGCCAGCCGGCGACCAGTCTTGCCGATGTAAGTGTCACCGCAACTGCAAGTGAACTGCTAGATGATGTTAGAGGCCGAACTACTTGGCGAGCTACTCGGACTGTCGTGGAGAGGAATCCTTCGTGTAGTGTGGGTAAGTCATTGTTGGGCGTTAGAGAAGATACGCATTAAAGCGGACCTGAGCTTGTGACCAACATCATTTGCCCGATCAGGTAGGCCCATCTGTGGAATAAGCTGCTACCGTTGCAATTAACGACCAGTGAGAGCTTGTCTACATTTATATCTTATCTGCCAACTCCTCTTTCTATGCCAAATGGAGTCAAACTTTTCGGCCTTCAGCAATCTCCGAGTGCACTACTCATGGAATCCGGTCCGAAAAACATATGACGAAACTAGCTCTTCAATAAT